ATATTTTGAAGAATTGTAAATAAGATAAATAAAAAATAAAAAAATAATATTTTACATTCAATTATTGTATTATGAATAGATAAGTATATTGATAAAATTCAATGATATGTAAATATAAAAATAAAAAATATTGTAATATAATTATATTTTAGGTGAAACTGAAAAGATGAATATGTATCAAGCAATAAACAATGGACTTCGAATTGCAATGACAAAGGATCCTAATGCAGGTAATGAAATAATATAATAAATTTTTTTTCTCTACTAAACAATTAATTAAAAAAGTATTATTTATAAAGCATTTATAATTTAAATTCTAATTGTTTGTTAGACAAATATTATTGTTATTAAATGATTTAAAAAAGATACTATAAGAAAGTTACACAATTTTCTAATATACAAATTAAATTTTTAATTTATCTCTTATAATTAATAATGCACTAATTGTAATATATGGATTATTCTTATTAATTTTCAGAAAATATTCATAATTTGAAATATTCATAATGTTCATAATTACATAATATTTATACATAATATATTTTTTTAATGTTATTATAACAAATGTTATAATTGTTTTTCTACATCCAGTGATATTTGGGGAAGACGTTGGATTCGGAGGAGTATTTCGTTGTACAATAAATTTACAAAAAGAATTTGGCAAAGAACGAGTATTTAATACACCGCTTTGTGAACAAGGAATTGCTGGTTTTGGAATTGGTTTAGCTACTGCTGGTATAACAGCAATCGCAGAAATTCAATTTGCTGATTATATATTTCCCGCTTTTGATCAGGTATTATTATTATTTAAAATATTGACTAATAATTTTCAAAAGATTAAAAACGTTGTTTTATTAAGAAAATCATGTTATTTTTAAAATATAAATTTAAAATTGAATATTTCTGAATCTAAGAGAAATTACTATATCTACAGTTGGTAAATGAAGCGGCAAAAATGAGATACCGAAGTGGAGGAGAATTCGAGTGTGGTAAGTTAACAATTCGGGCACCTTGCGGTGCTGTCGGTCATGGTGGTCTCTATCATTCGCAAAGTCCAGAAGCTTATTTTGCTCATACACCAGGATTAAAGGTATATAAAATAAATAATTCAATATTTTCTATATATTATTTCAATATTTCTATAATTTTATTATATTAATATCAAACGTTTAGCAATGATAGAATTTTCAAAGAACATCAAAGTTTTATAACTATAACAATAATATATATATATTGCATATTAGTGCAAATATTTTAATATATAGAATATTAAATTCAAATAATTCATGATGACTTTATAATTATTTACTATTATATCAAAGAAAATCTGGTTTTTTGATATATGAAATATTAAGATACATAATATTGCAGTATTTCGCTTAAAAATTTGATAAAAATCACATATAAAACCGTATAATAAAACAATATTAAAATATAATAAAACAAAACATTTCCTGATAAAATGATATCGTGCAAAATTTTGTTAAGGACTTATTAGTTAAAATAAAAATATAGCATTGATTAGTTAAATTCGATATTCAATTAAAAAGAAGCAAATCTCATTGGAAAAGTTAATTTTATTATTATAATAATTTATATAATACATAATATCATATAAATATTTATAAATATATTAATTTTTCATTAATTAATGTAATTCTATTATGAATTCATACAATAAACAATAAAATTTAATTATTATAAATTTTATATTCTTTTCGCAAATATATGATGAAATATAAGATTTTTGTTTTCCCCAAAGTAACAATATCGATAATATTGAAAATGACAATTACATTTCTCAAGTTTTTTAGCTCTGGTCGATAATAAATATTTCATTTATTCTCCGATAGATGTTTGTACAGATACAATTATGGAATTCATATTGATCCATCTAATGGAATAGATCAATGATACAGACAAACTAATAATTTTATCTCATCAATCATTTAGTCAATACTTTTTTATCAAATCGCTTTCATTTTAATTTGCACATTTCAGAAATTTTTAGATTTGCAATCGTTAATTATTCAACTACAATTGATATCGATCATCAAAAGAAATCGACCGAATGAATAGAAATATTACAAAACTTGAACAAGCATGTAGAACGAATTTCTATACTCAAGGATATATCCTTCGTCAAAGACTATGCTTTAGTTCTATAGTCATTGACTTTCTAGAAGAGATCCCATGAATATTGTACGACATATGTACTCTACGTATTCATGAAGAAAGTTTTCCTCATATACTAACGCGTTGCTACCGACACTATACATCTCGATTACACGAACATCGGTGTGCAACATCACGTCGACATTTCCTGAAACCAAGAGATCACACGCTATTCGTCTCGCGCTTTGACACAATACCAACCGTGAAAACGAAGCTACGTAATGAAACTGTGCATACCTTATACATTCTATTATGCACCTGTTTCGAACAATATTTTTGTCGAAGTCTGAACTTCATTAACTAAAGTGCACATTGCCTCATATCTTTCTTGCGTCATTTAATTTATCTTTGCTTTCTCATGTTATTTTTGAATTATTGAAATATTGATAAAATTTTAAAAAATATTTTTCATAAGAGAAATATTCTATCTTTGGAAAATAATTTTAAAAATGAAGATTAAAAAATATATATTTTTTTATAGACATTTATATAACTAATTAATTATTTTGATTCAAAATCATTTGTATTTTAACGTGAATTTTATTATAAATTTTAATGTCATTAATAATACATGCATATATATGTATAAGGACACTTTAATAAATGTTTTCAAGAAAAACAAATCGTAAAAAATAGTTATATAGTCATACGATTTTTTTATTTTAATCTTTCGAATTTTCTGTTGTATTTATTCATAAAGCAATGCTTTATATTATAATAACTCTAATTAATCAATTTTATACAATTTTTAATTTTAAAACATGGAAATTTGTAAATTTTTAAATTTCAAGTAATAAATTAAAAGTTTGAATTTTATAATTCGAACTTATATATTAATAATTTGTCAAATTTTTAATTTTTAAATTTTCATTATTATAAATTTAAATTTCACATTCGATTCTATTAAAAATCTGTAACATACATTGTGAAAAACATGATGGACTTATCGATGTATATATTTTTTATGTAACTATAAGCACTTTTCAAAATGAAAATATAAACTCATTTTATTATTATATCATCAAATAAATGCATTTTTCGTGCATACACGTAAAATTTCAATATCAAAACTTTCAAACAAGATAAGGTCGCTTGTCTCTGAATTCCAGAACGTAATCACCGATTGCGCGTATATGACCACAACACAGGGTACATGACCACAACAATGAAATGTAACCGAACGTCCTTTTCAGATCGTTATGCCCCGCGGAGCGAAACAGGCGAAAGGTCTTTTGTTGAGCTGCATAGAGGAACCGGATCCCTGCATCATATTCGAACCGAAAATATTGTATCGTACTGCAATAGACGATGTGCCGACAGCTGATTATAAGATAGAGATCGGCAAGGCTGAGGTTGTGAGAGAAGGTAGGCGTGGAGGAAGACAAGTTTTATGGATAAGTTTCACTTTGTAACTACGTAACGATATCGTCCGTGCATCATGTTTGATTATCCTTCACGCGTAATTCGCCATTTCTTTTCGCACGTTCGAAGTAATAATTGTCGATCGATCGTGATCATAATGGAACTTTCACAACTTCTTTACAGAGAAATTCATAACTGTTGTATCGTTATTATCAACGATTAATTGACCGGATAAATAATTCATTACATGTTTGTGACCTTAAATGGTGGATAATAAGCAGTTGTCAGTGTGCAAATACACGATAAAGAATCGTTTTGGATGATGACTATTTTTTGAGTAAGAATTATTTATTCTGATTAATGAGTTATTATTTTTCATATACTTTATTGAAGATTGAAATTACCTCTTATTCTATTTTCAATATTGAATTTTGATATTGAAATCTCTTGAAATATATAAACTATTTACAACATAGTTATTATATTATTAATTATATATATTATAATTATATAACAATAACTATTTATTCTGAATTTTTGACAACAACTTTTTATTTCAAATATTTGAGATTCTTTTTATTCAGATACATATTAATATTTTTAAAATAGTTTTTCATTTGTATTATTTACATAGTATAAAATAAGATATTTCATGTATCTAAGTAATATTAAAATTTATAAATGATTGTTTTAGAAGTATATCATAAGTGCACAATTAAAAAAAATGAATAATCAATCATGACTATAAATTTATATTAATAAATAATTAGTCACTGATTATACAGTATATTAATTAACAATTATTATTTATTAATTTATTTCATTAAAATTAATGCCAATATTGAAAAATCAAAAAAAAATTTAACATGTAATTATTAATTTTAACTAACGATCAAATAATTATTCTAAATACAAATTGCAATTTAATCAAGTAAAAATTTAATCCTCAATCATTATAATACCTAATTATATTAAATGAATCATTTAAAAGCCAAACCAATTAACTCCACTTTCTAAACTTTTTAAACTTCAATTTCTAATTGAAAATATAACCAAAATATAATGTTTAACTTTTCAAAAATTACATGATTAATATATTTATTTCTCTATGTCTCAAATATTACTTAGCACTATTGACAAAGTTATAAATAAACAGGAAATTAAATATAGTCAAATCTCTGTAATTAGAATCTTTCTATAATTTGGAAATCCTCTATAAATTACAATTTTGTTCATTCTTTTTCCTTTGTAATAAAAATCTTTACAATATAAATTTCTATTTCCATCTTCTTCTAAACTTCAATAACTTATAACCTGATAAATAATAGCTTAATAAGCATTTTAATTTTTATATTTCTTTGATCTTCTAAAATCAAATCTTATGAAAGATGTCTTATGAGTATATAACACCTTGTAGATACATAATTTAACACTATAACTATAACTTATTTTCTAATTTTTTATATGTTCACATTTATATCTCTTTAATTCATTTAAAATTTAATATTAAAAGTCAAATTTTTGTCACAATTCGAAATACTTATCTATTACAATATCTCGAATATCTGAAAACGAATATTATTTAAATTATATCCTTTCGTTTTTTAAAATTTTTCTTTTAAAATTAAAAAAAAAAATAAATAAAACCTCCATAATTCAAAATTTTAATTCTTCCCGTCAGATTCGATGAATATGTAATATTCATCCATCTGCAATCGTCCTTTCATTACTCGATTCAATCGGCATATTCGATGACCAATCTCCTGGAACAGGATACGTTAATATATGCAACAGACACAAAAATAATCACGAGAAGCGTAGAAAATAAGGCAAACATGGTTTACAAGTGTGTGGATTTGCATGTAGGTGACGCAGTGACACTGGTGGGCTGGGGAACTCAGGTGCACGTACTATTGGAAGTGGCAGATCTCGTTCAGGAGGAGCTCGGGGCGTCCTGCGAAGTAATAGACCTGATTTCTATCCTGCCTTGGGACACGGAACTCGTTTGTAAGGTAATATTTCGTCATAATAATTTGCTTCGTTTTCATTTTTTTATTTCTTTTCTTTCTTTTTTCCCCCTTTTCCTTCTTTTTCTTTTTCCTCTTCATCGATGTTTAATGCACAACCGGATCGTTTGCATGCGTTACATTTAAAAGCGCAACTGTTACGTTTGCACAGCTATTACGTGGGTTCGTGTCCTTCATAGAAATGAGAGGAGAGGAAGGAAGAGGAAAATAAGAGATACGCAGTATTTTAATCGTACGATTCGTTTATGGAAAGCAGCATTTGTGCATTTTTAAAATTTTTTTGTTTTGAAAAACAAAAATACAATTTAAATTGTTTTGATGAATTAATAGATAGAAATGATAAAGAAAACAAAAAAAAAAGAAAAATTATAAATAAATTTTATTATCAAGGTTAATGAAGATAAAAATCAGAAATAATTGAAAAAAATGAGCTACGAATTGAAAATATTCATTGTTTGAAAACAAAAATAATACGAGTTTTTATATAAAAAAGGCCACAATATACAAGAAAGCTAATTTCTTTATTGACATATCATTCAAAATATTGATTTATTTTTCTAAATGATTTTCTTTTTAAACAATCTCTAGTCGAAATTTTCGAAACTTTTGAAAAATATTCAAGCATTATTTTGAGAAATAATTGCGGAACTCAGATAGAGTTCCATATAAACCAACATGAAATAAAAATTAAGTATTTAGTTATTTATCTTGTATCTAATTCATTAAATATTCTAAATAATATTTAAATGTCAAAATTAATCGATTTTTCGAACTAACGCTTCGAATATTCGAACAAACTACTTTTCATTGAATTCACTTTTTATTAACTATTATTATTAACCAAATTCAAAATTTTCATTAAATACATAATTATTTCATTTATCATTATTAGAAGTAAGTATATTATTAAGTAAGTATATTGCATTGATACTTGAACACACATTCATTTATTCAAATGATTTGTCCGATTTCATCACTCTTGTTGATCAATTAACTCTCGAGAGAAATTATTTATTTAATATTCAAATGCTAAATGTTGCACTGTTGCATATCGATACGAGCGTTCAAAATAAAAATAACAAACACTCGATTACAGATACGAATCGAAACTCGAAATGAAATTGACGTTTTACTCAGTTATTTATCAAAATGTTAAATATCAAGAACCGAAGACAGCATTCATTCGTTCGATATGTCATTAGACGCTAATAACATTGATTTATGCTAATCTTCGACTTAACGATATGCCGATTGTACGGTATGCATCATCGTATATATAAACATAGTATATGTGCAAACACGCGAAATATAGCTGCTGTTAGGTGGCGATTGTAATTGGAAACCCATTCTCACGTAATTTCGATGCGGATTCTCTACGGTCAATATTTGTCACGAGATTCGCCAAAGCGATAAAATCGATACAGAAATATTGTGGTTTTTGAAAAGGAATATAAAAATACGAGGGAAAAGAAATTTGAAAAACTTGGAGAATGATGAGATTTGAGTATAGAAATTTAGTTTTTGTTTATTTGGACAAATTTTTGGAAAGGGTATATATATCTTGGATATAAGAATGCCAATGTTCTTGAAGCAGATTATGGATAAATGTCATTAGTCCATATCGGCAAGAAAAGAGATAGGAACAAAATTCCTCATGGTGAAGGAGAGTTAAGACCTTGTCTTTTTTACCAAACGAATCGATTAAAAGGTTATGGCATATCGGTTTATCCTCGACATCCCTTTATATTTACGATTGAGGAGAATAATGGGATAAATTTTAATATTTTAGTGTTTTAAAAGATATAAGATATCGAAAAAAAGAGAAGGTAAAAGAATAGAGTTATTTTCATTCCTGAAACTAATTTAACAATTATTAGAATTTTGAGGCTTTCAGAACCCGATATTATATATTATGAGCCATTTTTTAGAAAGAAAGAGAAACGATTAAGGAACTCTTTATACTTGTTTATTCTTATCATATAATCGATTTTTTCTTCGCTGAATCGTTGACATCTTTATTATTTTTATATTTTTATAATTTGATTATATGAATATAGTTAAATGAATACAATTAAAAAAATATATTACAAGTATTATCGCAAAAAAATTATGATTTATTGAATTCAAAACTCTGAAAAATCCATTTTCCTTGAATCTCAACATGTAATATATTTACTTTATATAATACATACATAATAAAATTTTGAAAATATTTTTCATTCTTTTCGTTTAAATAGTTTAAATTAATTAAATTAAACATATAAGATAATACAATTTAAGATTAAAAATCTGCTTGATTTACTTCAATATAATTTTTTTTATAAGATAAAACTATTTGCACAAAATTTTTATTCATTTTTAAAATATGAAAAGATATTGATCTATTAAAAATTACTTTTTCCTTTATATATTCCTGTTATTATATTATATTCCACAATTAAGTAAAATTATATATAGCGTTTATTTAAGTTAATATTTTTGTGCAATCATTTTTTTATTTTATTTTTATTTGAAATATTTTTTTCTAAATTATATCATAATATATATATATATATATCTTATTTAAATATATTATATATATATATTAAATCTATTAAATATTACATTGTGTTTTTACAGTTTAATGAAATTAAATTTTCTACATTATAAAATTAACAATATTTATAATAATTAATTTTATTCTCTATTTTATTATTTTATTTTATCATCATATATCACTTTGAAGATCATTTTACTTGAAAAGAATAGTATTATTTATATATTTTCTGATGTTAATTATTATATTGCTAACTTTCAAAATCCTATACAATTTATATTTTTTCTTAACATTTCTATATTTATAAATTTTATATTAATTTTAATTTTAACGTGTATATGTATCATTTTAGAAATTAAAATATTATATATATTATATATTGAATATATTATTTATGATACATCCTTTATTTTTAACATTTATTTACTGTTTAAAATAAAATATCTTCAGGTGCATATAAAATGTTTTTATATATTTTTATTTAACTCATTGTTAATCGTTTTGTTATATACAAGATTATGACAAAATTTTGAATATAAGATCGAAAATTGTATATACATATTATTATTAAAAATATTGGCTTATAATTTTAAAATGATATTTATACAGTATATTTGAAGTTGATGAATTTTAAAATTTTAACTTAAATATGAATCTTTTCATTTAATCACGCTAAAATTTATTATAAATTCTTTTTTTCTATCCAACGTTACAATTTATGCAAATAAAAAAATATCAAAAGTCAAAGAAATAAAGAATATTTTAACGCTTTCGTTATATTCCTTGACAAATAGATATGAATAAAATTTTACGAAAATGTTGAATATCGATTTTCAATTAAAGAACATCTAAAAGTTAAAAATGTAAAGAATTTCCGATAGAATATAATATAATTATAAACATTTTTGGTGGAAAATTAAAATTGAATTTTCCATGAATCGTCAATATAAGAAAAATCTTCGAGCATAGTCACGATTTCAAAAAGCGGTTAGCCAAATCATCTGAAATCTGAAATGTCACATAACCATACAAAGAGTTCTAAAGAATCGTGCAAGTGTTATCGAATTATCGTTTCTAATGATTTACAACGAAGCGTATACACGCGTGTCTTAATTACAGATCTAATAAACGCCAGTTTCTAACATCTGATCTCTTTTGTAGATTTAACTCAAAGCTACAAAGTGTTCTGTTCTCTCCCGTTATATTAATGCGTCGCTTAACGTCAGGCCGCTTATAAATTATTATTATGCTGTACAGGATGGTGCATAAATCATTCACAAATTGATCCTCGGAATAGTTCGTTCTATCAAATGAATTACTCTCGGCGACACGTAATAGCAAGTTGGATAGCTATGACCAGCTTTCTTGCTCCGAACTTTCGATCGATTTCGTTTATTGATATATATATATATACATTTGTTATGAATATCGATTTTTTAATTAACTAAGCGATTTCATGATTTTGACAAAGATGTGTGAAAAGAGAAGTCGCTTGAATAAGTGATGACGTTCTTTTGATCACAGAATTATGGCTTATTTTAATTATTTATCTAGTGATTTATTTTAAGCACTATCAAGGGTTTATGAATGTTTTTTTGGAAAGTGTTGATTTTCTTCTATAAACATCTAAAAAGTTCTTCTATAGCTCTTAGATATAGTTAATGTCAATAGTTAAAGTTAAAAGTTATCTTTATCATAATACTTGGAACTTTAATATCCTATTATACAAATACTTATTTTGAAACTATGTATATGATAATAATATTTTAATATCATTCTTTAAAAATATAAAATCCATTTAAAACAGAAATTGCTAGTAATATACTATAGTAATATACTATTTAATATTTATTATTCAAATATTTGTTTTAAATTTTATATTCCAATAATATTTTAATATAAGTAAATGAAAAGGTAAAATGATGATCTCAAATTTATGAATTGCTTACTTTTTATATCAGAATTAAAATTTTTAATAAAAGTAGTCAGCTTAGCTTTAACGATGATATATTAAAATATTCAAATTTAGGCCTAATGTGTATAAAATATACATGTATATATCTTAATAAATTATAAAATATAAAAATATTACATATAATATATTAGTTTAACAATCTACTTCTAGAATTGTACTATTTTTTTAATATATTAACAAGAACATATAATTAGAAACATAATTTCTATTTATCTACTTCAAAATATTTCTAATGATTTAAAAATACTGCTAATACTTCATTACACAAATAATTCTCTTAAATGTTAAAATTAGACTTATTTGCAAAAATATTTCAAGTATCAAAACATCAATATTATACAGTTTATAATTTATATGTGAACATGTTTTGCTATAATAATTATGCGCAATGTTGTAGTCGGTGAAGAAGACTGGCCGCGTGATAATCGCC